ATCAGGAAGCCAGCCTGACAAGCTCTCCTGGAGATTAAACAGCACACATCTTCTGCTCCAGAGCCAAGAAGTGATGCTCAACGTAAGGACCAGAACTCCCCCAAAAGGAACAATAGCCACTCTCAGCGACAACTAGGTCCTAAGCTCCTCCAATGACAATGGCCAATTCATATGGGGGAAGATAGCCATGAAAAGTTCCTCCAGGAGAACCAATGCTCCAAACAACACTTAGGAGAGCCCACAATGCCAAACTCTTTCTCTCCAGGTCTCCTTATGCTGGCAACTTCCTCAGGTGGGCCATCTACACTTAGCACCATGCTGATTTTAATTCAGCTGATGCCAAGTTGACCACCAGTTTTTAATCTGTAACATTGCACCACCAAGCCCGAGTAGAAACTGTTTTCAGGGCCTTGAACATGCTCACTAAACTGCACCCTCAACCACCACTAGCAATTAGACGGAGAAGACTCCGTCTAGGAATAAACAGTATCTTTTCTTACATTGCTTCTCTCTTTAATAGAAAGCTACTACCCAAAGTTCTAAGACACGCCCTATTATAAGAGGTCACTAACTCAAAACAATGTGGAAAAGCAAGACTGAATTATAGGGGGTGAGGGTATAGCTCAGGGGTAGAATATTTACCTAGCAGGTGTAAGACCTTGGATTCCATCCTCAGCGCTTAAAGTGAATTACAGAATATTCAAAAGCTGTTTTTATCCATAGTAGTTGCATGCAGCAAATAACCATGTCAATGTATTATAAAAGAACACCTTAACGCTTGGTTGGGAACACTTTTAATAATCAGTCCAGATACCTACCCTAGAGAGTATATGTCACTCTTAAGTAGCATCTGCTGTCCAGGGGTCTTGCTTACCCCATTTCCTCAAAGCTCCCTCTACAAAGACAGCTCACTGACATCTGAGCATGAGTACTTCAGAGAGCTTTCATGTGAGAACTGGGTCTGGGGGGTGTGTGCCCCTAGCAGCATCAGTGGCATCACCCTCCAGAGGACTCATGTGTGCTGTGTCATTGTTGGGGACTGGTACTGCCCTAATGGGGCTCACAGGTTGGTGAGGGTGACTGCTCTGACCAGCTGGATGGGACATCATAAAGACTGTGACGATGGTCATAAAGGATTCAAGGGGGCCCTCTAGTAATAATCAAGGGAGACACACTCCTGGAGCAGGAGCAGGAAGCCTCAGAGAAAAAGCAGCACAAAGCAGAAAGCCAGACAGTAGTCTCACAGCTGGAACTCCCTCCTACCTCACCAAGACCCATGAAGGTAGCCACGAGCTAAAGAAAAGTGGTCTCCTTTCCTGAATTGAAGAGATTCCAATGTGTGCTAGGGTCCAGGTTCAGCTGATTCTTGAAAAGCCAGAAATTCTAGGGAGAGAGAATGTAAGAGGGATGAGTAGAAGTCGAAGTCACAGGAAGGCAGGCGAAAAGTCCAGGGTGCTGCCAAGCAGAAAAATAGAAATAAGACCTCTTATAATAAATAAGCTTGATGAGCAGGTTGGAATGAAAGATGAGGTTCTCTGATTTCTGGGAGCAGACAAACATTTTTTAATAGGTTTTTTTAAAAATAGGAGGCAGGGCCAGGGGCTTGGCTGAGAGAGAGCAGCTTAGTATGGGTGAGGCCCTGGGTTCCAACCCCAGTGGCAAAACAAAAACACAAAAAAGAAATTCCGATGCGATCCATCAGGAAATGGGCAAGGCGGGGGTGAGATACGCAGGAGGGCAGCATCTGGGGCCGAGGCACAGGTCCGCTGGGTCGGGCTGTGCACTTTGATTGCTATATTCTGGTCTCAAATGTGCTGCTAGTGACTTAACCCCGCACTGCCAAGCTCTGTTAATACTGAATTTTCATCGTCAAAGTCACACTGAGGACTTGCAGCTTCTTAGGGACAGTTGCCTTGGTGTATTACATCTTGCATCTTTTTCTTTTTTTTCCGCACTCCCAGGAGTCTGCCCTCTCTTGAATCCTCCTCTAACAGGATGTCATGGTTTATTTTTTCCCTGCCCTGTGCCATGGAGTTGGCTGGATGTCTAACCCTTGAGAACTCTGACCCTTTGTGATGAGTTCCTGTTTAACTGCTATCTTGGGAACTACTGCTGTTTGATGGCAATGTCTGCATATTCATAGACTCTAAACCATTATTTCCCAGAGCAGTCCAGCTATATATACATACCCAGCCCTTTGCTGCTCCTCCATACCATGTGCTCTTTTCACTTAGCAAGGGCTTCGCTTGTTGTATTCCCAGTTGTTTGTGCAGTGGAATATTCTTAACAGAACCAATTGCCTTTTTTTTTTTTCAAGGAGAAAAAGAAAAAAAAAACAAAATTTCAAAACACATCAATCGAGGCAACAATGGTACACACACTCACACTGTCATCCTCATTCATTCACCCAGAGCACAAGACATCTGCATTCAATTTTCTGAAAAATGCCAGCACAAATCTTTTTCAGTGAACACAGAAATCGGGACTCTATTTATATACAAATACATATGTTGTTTCTTTCACCTTCTCACACTAATGAGACTGTTTACATGTGTGTCTTATTTATTTCACTAATGAGTATGGTCTCAAATTGCATCCATTTATCTACAAGTCTCCAGGTTAGCTTCTTTATGGCTGAGTAGGACTCTACTGTCTAAAAACACATCTTTTTTTATCCATTCCTCAATTGATAGTCATTTAGGTTGTTTCCAAGGTCTGGCTATTACAAATTGTGCTTCTATGCACATAGGTGTCCATATATTGCCATAGTATGTTGTTTTTAATTTTGGTTAAGATAACCAGAAGGGGAATAGTTAGGTTGAATGAGACCTCTAACCCTAGTTTTTCAAGGAATTGCTATGCAGATTTCCATAGTGGTTGCACCAGTTTACACTGCCACCAACAGTGGAGAAGGGTTCCTTTTTCCCCACAGCCTCTCCAGCATTTGTTGTTTGATTTCCTGATAACAGCCATTCTTTCTGGGGTGAGGTAGAATCTCAGTATTCAGCAGGACTATAATAAAACCCAGGCCGGCTGCAGAGGCCTCTGCCACCCAGATCTGCCGGAAAAGGTGACAGAGGAACAGATAGAGAACTGTGAGCACTCCGAGACAGGCCGGTGGCTGGCCACTTAGTTATATGTCACAGGAGGAGTGACATCGCCTCCCCAGACTTGGGCTTCTTCATCTGTGTGGTTAAGATTAGACTGGCTCTGTCCCCGGAGCTCCTGCTGTCCTGGAGGTGCATGGGGGCTGAGGGGTGAGCGAGCATAGAGAGAGATGTTGCCAGCATCCCCAGGACCCAAAACAGTTTTCTGTCATGCTAAACATTTGCCTGCTGATGGAGCCGCACCCCCATGCCCTAGAAGTTCTTTAGAGAAAATATTTTGTGGTGGCTTTAAAACTACAGGACTGTATCTTCTTCTAAGTCCTTTTCAATATCAATACCTCTGATGCCATGAGAGATGAGTCTCCTGCCTTCCTCCATCCAGTTACTGATGGGAAGTCCCCAACAGGACAAGATTAGGACCCCCAACACACACACCAGAGCTGGAGTAAAGCCCTTGAATTTCCTATCAGTGTCACTAATGTTAACTAAAGCCCCCCAAGGGCCTGGAAAGTGGTGGTCCACTAGTCAGCTTTCTCATATTGTAACCAATACCTGAGCTGAATCAACTTAGAAAGGAGGAGGATTTCTTTCGGCTCAGATTTGGGGATCTCAGCCATGCTCAGGTGAACACACAGCTTTTAGGTCGGGGCAGGGCGGTACACTGTGGCAGAAGCAGCTGACAGAGTAGAGCAGTTCACCTCATGGAAGAGAGGAAGGGAAGAGGGTGGGTCCCAGCATCCCTTTCAAGGCCACACTACCCATGACCTAACGTTCTCCCGATCAGTCTCACCTCTTAAAGCCTCCACTGTGTGCCAGCAGGGCCGCTGGCTGGACCAAGCCTTTACCACACGGGCTGTTGGAGGAACTCATGCAAAGCATGGCAGATCCTGTTGTTTAGTTCACACAACAAGGCATGGATGACTCTTTTTCTTTAGGACACTAAGGACACACTGTGTGGGTAGGGCAAAGATGAAAGAAAATGCCAGGCTCTGTGACCTCTGACCTGTGCTTCTCAGTGGATAGAGGTTCGTTAGGTACACCCTCACCACACTCTTTTCTGGGTCTCAGACTTGGATTGTTTCCTGTCTAAAGAGCCCTGAGATAATAGCTTTGCCTCAGTTCATCAGCAGATTGCACTTAAAACACGGGCTCCAGCTGGTTATCCAAGACTCACACTATTCATGAGGGCAAGTCTGTGCCTGGGCTGAGTTCTTCCCAGAGAAGAGTCCCCACCAGGCCAGGGGTACCACTGTGACATCAGACATGGGTAACTCTTCAAGGCTCAGGTGGGTGGATCAGCAGATCCTTTATGTAATAATAATGGCTGGGTGTGGATAGCATCTTTAAAGTTATAGAAAAGCAGATTCAATTCTTGGATTGGGTTAATTAGAAAGCTTTGCATTCCTCGGAGTCTTGGGAAACAAGTGTAATTATTAATTGCAGTGTCTCAGAAATAGGTAGAAATAATAATATTATTAGAGAAAGAATTTCTAATCCACAAGAAATTTGATATAAACTTGAAGCTAGAAATCTTCTCAGATTGCAACAGCAAGACACAGTGACCTATTTCCATCGACAGATTCTAAAAAGGGAAAAAAGAGAAGGAAAATAAAGGAATGATGAGTTTCATGATACTACCTTGAGCACCGGATTATTTTATAACCAAATTGTTTGCTATCTGATTTCCACATGGGTGGGTTTGGCCTGTTTCGGGCAGATTCCTCCTGCCCTCATTTGTGGTCCCCAGCTTTCTCCACTCACTGTACATTTTGTCCTCTGTAAAAGCAAAGGAACTCGTGACCCTCTGATGACAGCACTGAGAAGTACAGACACAGCAAATTCTTGCACCTGTGTGGAGCAACTTGCCTCTATCTTCAAAACACAGGGTAATCATTGTGCATCTAAGGGACCGATTATCTCTTCCATTTCTTATCTTGGGTACAAGTACGAGGGGAGGTATTGCTCTCTTATCTTGGCTTGTGGATGAGTAAGTGTAGGTATCTTTTTGTGAGGTTCTTCAGTCCTTGCATTGGCTTATTACCTTGTTAGCCTGGCTTGCATCTTAACAGCCACACCTGGTTTTTCAGACCAACTGGATTTTTCCTAATCAAAATCCAAGACACAAGATGCCAACTTTTTTATTAGCCTCCAGCAGGAGTGGGTGAAGCCCTATAGGCCATGTCCAGCCCGTGTCTGTTTTTGGACAGCCCATGAGCTAAGAATGGTTTTCATATTTTTAGAGGATTTGCAGAAAATAAAAAAAAAATAATGTGTGGTATGTGAAAGTTATATAAAACTCAGATCTCGATGTTTATGAATACTGTTTCACTGGAACAAAACTACAGTCCCTTTCTTTCCTGCTCTCTACAGCTGCCTGTGCAGTGTGGAATTGTGTAGCAGCAACAGAACTCTAAGGACCGACAGGTGTCAGGCATTAACTATCTAACACTACAGAAAAAGTGGGCTGGTCCCTGGGCTTGAACAATTAAACAGCAGTAGTAGTTGATGTCTTCTGAGTCTTACTATGTGCCAAACACCATACTGACCATCCTTCAGGCATTATATTGTTTAATCTTCATAATGAACTATAACATGTAGCTCTTTTTATCATCAGTTTAGAAATGAAGACAAGGAGGATCAGAGAGGTTGTGTAATTCGGCCAAACACAAACAGCTGCTTACCGATGTCAGCATTAGGATTCACACCCCAACTTGGCTGATTCCTGAGAATCGGAAAGCATCCTGGTCAGCTGGAGCAATAGCCACGCATGTCTGCGCTGGGTCTGAGTGAAGGCTGCAGACACACATTTTGGATTTGGTTTATCTTTTAATTGATTTAGTTTTATCATTCAGCTGAGCTTTTCTGTTTGTCTCTCTCATGAGTGCATTTAAGTTCCCCAAGGGGGCGATCATTTGTGGGCACAGAGGAGAAGCTGAATGAAAAGCTCACCCCACACATAAGCGCCTAGCCCGTGGCTGATCTGACTGCTGTGCGCATTCCCTGGGCTGTGGCCTCCTCTCCTGCCCCTTCCCAGTGCTGTGGCTTCCTGGCATCCAGCCCAGACACACTGCCAGCCACAGAGGGACTGGGTGCCAGCCTGTGATAGGGTGTGTTCATCTGGAGCAGGGCATGCACTCGGAGCCTCCCATTCTCCCGTGCAGAGCCAGCGACTTACATCAAAGGGCAAAGCTGACTCCAGAGAGCGATCCAAAGGAATTGTTTCTTTTCTTACTGTTCTATGAAGTCTGCTGCCATATGGGACATATACTGGCCAATGAGGACTCATTTTCCCTGTCCACTGACCAGCACAGATCACCAAATATCTTCCTCACAAGAAGAGGGTAAGGGCTGCCACCAAGGTCCCTGTCCCTTCCTGGCCTGGCCTGGCATTGGAGTCAGTGCAAGGGCTGGGTAGTACTTGGGTCTCCCAGGCAAGCCCATATTGGCTGGAAGCCACCAATGCTGAGTGCTTTGCTCAGTGTGACAGAGAGCAGGCATAATCTCTTCTGACTTTGAGTGATTGTGCCTATTTTCTTTATCCACTAATTTGGACTAAGAAAAGTTAATAGGGAACAGTGTACTGTCTGTCCATTCATACATCCAGAAAACCAGTGTTGAGTCCTAAAACAAGCCTCCCACCAGGTATAAGAAGTAAATTATTAGTCTTTCCTAAAGAAACTCACAAACTGAAGCATCTTTAATAATAATGTCCACTATGTATCGTGTGCTATATCCTAACAAAGACAAAACCATTTAATTTTCACAAAAACCCTATGTGGTTAGCACCCTTATTATCCTCATTACATTGATGAAATTTCAGCATATGTGTTTGTGAGATGTCCATCATTGTGATAAAACACCTGAGCAAACATATGAAAGAGAGGAAAGTTTTATTTCTGTTTTTGTTCTTTTGGGACTAGGGATTGAACTAAGGACCTTGAGTTTGCCAGGCAGGTACTTGTGTCACTGAGCTATATCCTCAGCAAAAACAGAAAAGTTGTTGTTGTTTGTTTTGGGCTCAGGGTTTTGGAGGTGTCAGTCCATGGTTGGTTAGCCACACTGTTTGTGGGAAGGTAAAAGGTCATGGTAGGAAGTGCATACTAGGGGAAAGCTCTTCACCTTATGTCCAGGGAAGTAGACAAGGAGGAAGGCTGGGTTCCAGTGTCCCCTGCAAGGGCACACACCCAGTGACCTCCCTCCTAGGCTCCACTTTCTAAAGGTTCCACCACCACCCATAGTAGCACATAGATATGTGAGGGACATTTCAGATGCAGAGAGGTTAAATGGGACATAAACCCCGTCCCTGGCTGTAAGTTTCACCCCCTTCTAATTTTAATGCTTGTGATTATTGTCTTGTGACTTAACAGTGCTATTTAATCACCACAACAGTCCTATAACACAGCATTCTATTAACAGCTAACAGAGGCAAGGGACAACCTGAAGATACAGTAGTACTCTCTTATCTGTGGCTTCTCTCTTTTGGTTTCAGTTATTGTCAAATTTAGTCCAAAATGTTAAATGGAAACTTCCAGAAATAAAAAATTAATTTTAAATTGCATGTGATCCCAAGTAGCATGATGAAATCTGATGATTTCTGCCCCATTCCTTTGTCCAGTGTATCCACAATGTGTAAACCTACCTGCCTACTAGTCATTTAGTAGCTTTTTGCCTGGCAGATCCATTGTCAAGGTATTTCAGCCTGATGTTCAAGGAACACTTCTTTAATCATGGCCTCAAAGTGCAAGAATAGCGATGCTAGTAGTTCAGATACACCAAAGAGAAGCTGTAAAGTTCTTCCTATAAGTGAAAAGGTGAAGATAAAATAATATTTCAAGAGACCACATTCACATAATTTTTTTTATTATGGTCTATTGTTATCACTGTTCCGCTTTTATTATCAGTTATTTTTTATATCACTGTTTAAATTTTACCTTTTTTTTTTTTTAAACCTTGAAGCAGGATCTTTCTAAATTGCCTAGGCTGGTTGGAAAATTGTCTCCCTGAGCACTGGTTTTACAGGGGTGCGCCACCACGCCCTGCTGTTTTTGGTCTCTTCTGTGCCTACTTTATAAATCAAACTTCATCCTTGGTATCATGTTGGTATAGGAGAGAACGGCAGGCACACAGTGTTCGGTTGCACCCACAGCTGGGGACCCTATTCCTCCAGGGGATTTGAGCACCTAAGGGCCCATGGCTGCTACCGGTCGCAGCCTGGAGCTTTTCTCAGGACTCTTGGAGAAAGCGGGTCTCTAGGTGACACGTGGAGGTGGCCCACGGAACAACACCTGCCCCATCATACCTCGGGAGTCAGATTTTTCCCGTGGGGACAAAAGTTAGAAAAAGAAAACTAGAAAGACGAATCTCCCAAGGCCGCTGAGCCGAGCTGGGGCCAAGGCCGCCAGGAAGTCTGCAGCCCAGCGCCGCGGGTGCGCCCTGGGGCGGTGCCTGTTGCCAGGGAAACCGGGCGGTGAATGCACTCTGGGCTCCGTCTGGCCTAGGAGGTGCGACTGAGGCTGGGCCAGCCTGCGGTCACTGCCTTAGAACAAATAGTGTGTGGATTTGGGCTGGTCAGTAGAGGAGCGGGTGTGGGGGGGGTGTGCTTCTCTCCAGACTCCGTGTTGGTTTCACAGCAGTGCACTGTACGGGGCGGAGAGAAAGAAATAAGAGGAAGCGGAAGCAAGGAGCCTGGCCAGACATCTCCAGCCGCGCGCCTATCCATTGCTGCCTCGCTGCGACCCGCAGGCGGCTAGGCCACACAGCTGGTAGACTCCAACCCCAACCCTATGCTCAAATCCGCTGATTAGAATCAATTAGAGAGTCCACTTTGAATTGTCAGGCCAAACACAAAGGCAAAATAAAACAGCATTTTGTTTGCTTGCTTTTGCTTTGTGCTTTTGTTTTAGTTAGAGCTAGACAAAGAATATAAAGAAGGGTAGAGTGCTGCATGGCGTTTGAGATGCCCCTTTGGAAACTGTGGAAGGTGCCACAACAAGAGCCAGGATGGGTGTGGTCACCTTGACCTAGGGCCTTTACACCCCCTTTCCCCAGCCAGACCTGTAAACCTTCCCAGGTCTGTGATCCACTCACAGTTCCTCAAGCCCACCCCATGAACCAGGCAGGTGTACGTTCTCCATTATTTTAACTCTTTATTTTCTCAGAAAGGTGTTGCGGAAAACCAGGCCACCCTTGGGTGCACCTACAGGAACCCAGGTCTTGGGTTAAACTTTTGCCCACAGACAGGGTTGTTCCCATGGAACTGAGCAATTCCCAAACACTGATGTTAGGTGTTAGGGAAGGGGACAGATTTCTAAATAGTGAGATAGGAAAATATACTTTATATTTACAAAAGTGAAGAAAATGAAACCAGCAAGTTACAGACTGAGCAGTTCATTATCAAGCATAATGCTAGAGAAGGATTATTGGTGGGATGGCTGGTAGGCACCTATAAAAAAACGTACCCTAAGTTCCATAAGAATAAATCAGAGCAGACCAACAGTTAGGGTTTGGGGCAGGATTACTGGACTTGGATTTTTATGGTCTGTTCAGTACAAGTCAACAGGAAGATGGTGCCAAGAAAGAACAGTGAACTCGGAGGTCGTGAACAAAAGGCCAGGCTGGAAATGAGGACAGCCATGGTTTTGTTCTGCCCAGTGCTAGGCAGACTCCACCTACATGTGCCCTCAGTTTGGGACAGCACCCTGCAGTAAACACAGGTAATCTCCAGGGAGACTAAGAGACTGAAAGTTGGAGGTGTTCCATGTGGGTCCCCTTTACTGCAAACCAGCCTGGCCAGACAGGGCTGTCCTGATGCCTGAGTGATACCCGGTCAACATGGCTGAGAGTTGGGGCAGAGAACTCTGTCCCCAGGAGTGACTGAGAGATTCTGTCTTGTCATTCGCTTTACTGCCTGGCACACGCACTCTTTTGGGAAATGCACACCATTGAGCGAAGAGCCCAACATCAGGCTGTTTCTAGTGTGAGTCTTTAGGTTGGAGGGGCTCATGGCTTCTCTGACCAGGGCTTCCTGTCCACATAACCCCGATAGGATGAGGCCAATTTGAATTTTCTCTCTTCTTAAGGACACTTTCATCTACCATTGTTTTCTCATAGTCCCAATTGGTCAAGGACTTCCTAAAGAATGGTCCAAGTCTCTAAGCTGGGGGCCCTTAGCAGGGCCATTGTCACTAGAGAACAGAGAGTCTGCTGGGGTTCACCCCAAACCCCCAATCAAACCAACCACAAAAGAGTCTGGACCAGTGGAGAGGGGCCAAGTTTTGAAATGGGCTGCACCTGGATTGCTGACCAGTAAAGTCCATTCTAGTGACATCTCCCCATTGCTAGAAACAAGTATTTCTTTCCATTCTCCTTAAGACTGTCGGGTGATAATTTTCATAAAGCTTTTTGAAAACAAAGGCAAGAAAAATGAAGTCCTGATTGCATTAAGCGGGATTTCTAAGGCACTGGTTTCAGGTTGCCTCCTTCTGGTTAATTATATTTATCTCTTGCTGAAACACATCACCACTTAATCAGCTGGCTTTGTCCCACTCTGGCTAGGATGATTACTGTCCCCATTGTTGCCCATCCTGCAGAGGTATTGGGCATCCTGAAGGAGGACTCAGGCCAGCAGCAGGAATTTGGCTGAGTTCATTCAGGTTCACTACATAATGGCCACCTCACTCCGAGTTGGTCAGGTAACCTTTTAAAATCTCATTTCCCACTAAGATAATCAAAATATTTTCTCTGCCTTTCTGGGTTTGCTTTGAGAATAAAGGAGAAAATCTATTATGAAGATACTTTTTAAATTACAGACCACCAATCAGATTTGCTGCTCTCTAAACGTGGTCTGCTATTTTACCATTCTGAGGTGAACTTTTACGTTTCCACCTTATGTCATCCATTTCTTTGTAAGAATACTTTTGTCATCCTGTATCTCTTTACTAGGCATCTGGCATGTGTCAGCATTGCACCAGGGGCTGAGGAGTTAGAGATAAAGAAAGAACCTCCAACAGTTTTCAGCGAAGCACACTGTGGAGGACACAGGAATAACTTTTCTCCAGATGAGGTGGAAGTCCATGAGCTAGAGAAGTCAGAATCCTTCCTACCATGAGTGGTGACTTTGCTGAGCTGGGAGGGAGTCAGTGGCATTAAACAGGGGAAGGAAGTAGGTGAAGGTGAAAGTGTTTGGGAAGAATGAGTCTAGATGTATGGAGGGGGTGACATATACTTGTATGGGGCTCTCCCACACACCGGAGAATGTTTGGTATCCCTGTAACCAGCACTGTTAGTAGTACAGCCACCCACCTAATACCCTCAGTAGCACAATCAGAAGTGCCTCTCACAAATGTATACCCCACCACCCCACGTGGAGTTCAGTACCATTCCCTGGTTGAGAGCCTCTACTAACAAGTATCTCTGGAACTGTGGAAGGAGAGAGGTGGAGAAAAATGAGACAAATAGAGACTAGATCATAAGTGGCCTTGTATCCCATCCCAGGCAGCTTACTTTCTAGGAGAAATTTCCTTGATTGAGGATAAGGAGACTGCATTTAAAGTGCTCTGGGTTGAGCCTGGCACATAATACAGGGTCAATAAATTTTGGGTCACTACCTCCCATGCCTGCCAAATTGTAGAGGCAGATATTTTCTTAGGCATCCACATTGTCTGTCTACCGCCCAAAAGTGCATCATAGCCAAATGGGTTGATGTCAGTTAACACTAATGTACATTTAGCTCGTCAGAACCAGCAAGGAGGGGAAGCCAGCTCCACAGAGGCAGTAAAGTTGCAGCAGTCTCTGCCTGAGCTCCATCCCCAGCCCTCTTCTCTGCTTGGAAAGCCCCACAGATGGCCCTGGAATCCATCAGTGCAAAGAAACTGGGACACAGAAAGAAGCCCACCACCACCATCTTCCTACCTGTCACCTGGGAGAGCCAAGGGTTAGATGCTGTCACTCATTAACATGTCCAGTGGCAACCCAAGTCTCTGCTTATAAACACCTGTGTTCATTGCCAAGACATATGCCGCCTTTTTTTTTTTCTTGTAATGCGGAGACTCACGCATGGTAGGCAAATACTCTGCCACTGAGCTACACCTCCAGCCCTGCATTTCCCTATAACAAGCAGCATTATGATTATTTGTTAGGGTCCGGCTGGGCCCTCAAAACCCATTTTATCCCTACAGTAGTTAAGCTGTGGTACTGAGAGTATCTGAAACCCAACTGTCCCTTGTGGACTGTTGCCACAGAAGAGATAGTCCCATCTCAGGTAAAGGACTACAGACAAATTCGACCCCACTTGTTCTTCCTCCACCCTGGGCTGCAGTCACACCAGCTTTTGCCCCAAGCCTCTGTTTGTGCTGTGTGTTGTGCCCAAAATGCTCCTGCCCAGTCCTCCTGTGGACACTCATAGCACCCACTTCCTCTGGCCATCAGTCCCTTGCAGCCCCATGTTACAGTCACCTGTTTACTAAGCCACCTTCCATAAAGGACTGTGACCTTGCAGCAGGGCCCAGAACCCTGTAAACTCTTCACTGTGTCTTCAGTGACCACTTAGGCTCGTAGCACACCGAACATTCACTAAGGATCCCCTGTGGAGTGAGTGAGTGTAAGCCTCCCAGACCAAGGGCCTCTCCCATTTCTCCACTTTCTACATTCCTCCATTTCTGCATTTCCACATTTCTCCATTTTCTGCAGAGACTGGTCTGCACACCAAGAATTTGGGTTACCTGGAGGCAAAAGAAAGCGATCAAGAAGAAAGGATGGGCTGAAGTCCTGAGCTTGGCTTTGGAGTGGCCTTAGTAGCAGAATGAGAATGGTTCAGGGTCACCACCACTGCCAGTCAGACTCCCTGAGACAGCTGGTCCTGGGAAGAGAACCTGGTTAGAGGCAGGTGGTCTGCCTGTTGTTTCAGGAGTTGCTCCCAACTGCATTGTAAACCTCTGAGGCAGAAAATATGTCCCTACAAAGCCTTGCACACAAATCTTTATAGAAGCATTACTCATAAAAGCCCAAAGGGGGAACAACCCAAATGCCTGTAAGCTGATAAGACTGGACAAATAGAGCATCCTATATCTATACACTCTATGCCCATACCGTTGTTTGTACAAAGGAATGAAATCCTGACACATGCCACAGCATGGATGAAGTTTGAAACCATGTTAAGTGAAAACACCCAGATATGTAAGACCACATAGTATATGATTTCATTCATGTGTCAGTCTAGAAAGGAGCAATCCGTTTGGATGGCGGACCTCCCACCCAAGTAGAAATCTGTGGAGGCTGAAAGTAGATTGGTAGGAAGATAGGAAGTGACAGCTACAGAGCGCGGGGGGTTTTGCTTTTGCTTTCAAGGTGATGAAAACATTCTGAAGCGCACTGTGGTAATAGTTGCTCACCTCTGTGAACCAAAAGTCATTGAATTATACACCTTAAAGGGGAGCTTTGTTCCTCCGAAAATGACAGGGCAAGATGGACTAGTCTGCATTTCTGGGGGTCCCTGGACTTCCCACCATTCTCCACTCCTCTCTCTTTTCCCCTGTAGCCTTTGAAGGTAACCATCACTGCTTCTCAAAGTCAAAGCCCCTTCCAGGACTAGCTGCAATGCTTGTCTGCACGGAAAGAATGTAATAAATATTAATGCAATCAAATGTACAGATCAAATATAGTTATTATTTAAGTAAAAATGATCAGCGACTTTTTTTTTTTTTTTTTTTGAGTCAGGGCCTCACTGTGTAGCCCAGGCTGGCCTTGAACCTACAGGGAGCCTCCTGCCTTTGCCTCACTTGTGCCAGGATTACAGGCGTGTGCCCAGCCTAATCACTTTCACACTAATAATTAACCAAAGAATAGGATACAATACTATTCCCTGCCTCCACTGGAACAGAAAAGGTAATGATTGATTATGAATTCCATCCCAATAGGTTAAGAATAGGACCTACTCACTTTTTTATTGCTACTTGTTGATTTTTATGTTATTAATATTTTTTGAAAATATGTGTAATGACGTGGTAGAAAATCTGTGTGTGTGTGTGTGTGTACAGTTTGTCAGGTGTCTCAGCCTTTAACTGTAGACTTCATCTCAGAAACAAAACAGGGTCACATATCTTCCGACTCAGATAAATGTGCTATGTGATTTTTCTGTGAGTGGTTAGAATACCAAAAGCAGACAAATGTCCTTTGCATTATTTTCCTTTGTGGAATTTTATTCACAAACCTTTTCCTGGGTAAATACCAAAACGGGGTGGGGTGGGGGGCCAGATGAGCGGCAGCTGGTAGAAATGGCTCGTTTTTGCATTTTTAAAAAATTGCACGTTTGTGTTTCAAGCTCCTTGAAACATCGAAGAGAACAGATCACCATATTTTTTAACCAGTGAAGGCTAGCGTGGGCTCCACACGCGTCTAAATGCGAGCTTTCCCAAGGGAGAGGCCGTGTGCAAAGTGTTCTTTCTCTGCCCTGCGCCCCGCGGGCGTCCGCTCAGCATCTTCCCGAGCGTCCCTCGGGTACCAGCCCGGACGCGCGACGGGGGCGGAGCACGATCGCGATCGCGCAGGCACCGCGGGGCTGGGGCGCGCGGCCCAGCCAGGAGCCGGGAGCAGCTGACTGCTGACTCAGACCCCGAGCAGGCAGCGCGAGCTCATGCTGCTGGCTGCTGCATCCCTATCCCACAATCCCTTGCCGGCTCGCTGCGGTCTTTTCAGTAGCCGCGGAGAAAAAGGATGCCCTGCAAGATAAAGCCTGGCGGGCCCGGACACCGGAGGGGGTCTCCCACTTGTTAGTGACCCAGCAACGTTCCGGCTGGCTCTCCTGAGCCTCCCCTCCTCTCCTGCGTTTCTCTCTTCCTCTGTCCTGCTCCCGAGCTGGCACCTGGCTCCCCGGAGCAGAAGCTATGCTGCTGGGCCGCTGACGATGGCTGCGCTGCTGGGTAGGGGGTTCTAACCCGTCTCTTTGCATGCTGCTTCCAAACTTGAGGTGTGGGCAGAAATGCGCATTGTTCTCTTGGACTGCCCCGGAGCTCAGCGACCGGCTGGGGTGTGGGGGGGATTTGATGCTCTGACTGTTTGATTAAGTGGGTTTGCCTGCAGAAATGGGTAGGTGCTCGGTATCTCGGTTGCTTAGCTTTATTTCAGGTGCATGGATGACTGATTTCTCCTGTTCTGCCCCCACCCCCACCCCTTTCTCTCATGGTGGCGTTGCATGCTCTGAAACTAAAGAAGAGGAAGAACCACTCTTTGCTTAAACAAAGACATCAAATTAACAAGGATGGGGAGAAAAAGTAATGCAAGATTTTCCTATGACGTGCTGTGGTGAACTGATTATTATTTTAATGTTGGCTTGGCTTGTTTGAAATAGAATTTCCCCCTCCCGCCCACCCCCTGCATCTTTCTGTCGAGATGAAATATTGAGTTTGCAGGATTCCTCCCCGGCTTCCCCGGGGTGGAGGAGAATGTGGGATGTGACCCTCCCCCCACCACATCCTCTATTGAGTGCACCCCGGGGTTGAGCTCCTTGGCTCCCCGTAACCATTGGAAACGCATTCATTCATAATACATGATTGGCCCCTCTGAATCCGCAATGCCACTGAGAACCGGCAAACAAATATGCAGCAGATGATTTCTTTCTTTCTGACATTTTCCCCTGCCTTTTAAGCACAGTCAAATCTGGGTGGAGCTCGATGGTGGCATTATACACGGGGGAGGAGATCCTTGTGTCTGCTCTGAGGTTTGATTCTTCAAACCATGGGTATAGTTTTTGGATCGGAGCTTTTTCCTGCAAGAATGCCCCACCCTGTCATTAGTCTTTATTGTCGGGCAATAGGAAAGCAAATAGGGAGGCTGTTTATTTTAAACTGAAAATTGAATGTTGAGAAACACATTCCAGAGCCAAAAGATAAAATATTTTTGTCTGAAGAAAAAGATGGTTTCAATGCTGTAGCTTTCCAGAACAGATAGAGACTCAGAAGGAGGCATTTAAAAATTATCTGTTCGCTTCTTTGGCTTAGCTCATATTACAGCAGTTTTATTCCTCATGAATAAACTGGTTTTACAAAAAAACTCTACAGTGGGTAAGGAGAGCCATTTGTTTGCTCAGATCCTTAAGCTGATTCCTTCTTGCCCAGGGTGAGTTATTTTCTGGGCCCTTGCATTATTTGGGGGCAGATGGTATACCAGCACTGCTCCAAGCCTGTGGAATGTTAAATAATGCAGGTCTCTCCCGAGTGTGCTTACAGTGAGAAGTTCATTCCCTGGTAGCCCTTCCTAAACCTCTGACTGTTCCTTTCTGGTTTCCTCCTAGAAAGATGGAAGTGATTTGCATTGCAAAGGTTAAAAAACTCAGCTGAAAGTAAAGAATTCTGTGAGAGCTGTGCTGCTTCTAGATACAGGAATGTAGCATCGTTAGCCTACACCTTGTTAAAAAGGACAATAAAAACTTAAATGCATCTTCACCACAGTTAATAGCACAGTCCTGAAATGACTTAAGTTTTTAAATTTGTATGATAACAAAAGATCAGCAGACTTTATGGCGTGTGAAGCACAATAAAAAGGACTCATTCTTTGTCTTACTGAGCAATGAATTCACATCCTTCATTTGGATAGCTTTAGGCAATTAGTTTCTCCACACTTGTGATTTTTTGGTTTATCTCAATTAAATAGGCAAAAAATCCTAAATATGTAGCAATTTTTAAAAATTTACCTGAGCTTAATTGTTAAGATACCTATTACCTCTTTTCATTATCTCCCTCACAAAATGAGAGCTTTAGCCAAATATTTGTACGTATTACGAAATGTACAGAGAAGATAATGCTTTCCAACTTTAAAAAATTGCTGCCAAATGATTTACAATCATAGTTTTTCTTCTCCTGGTGCTGGGGGTGGAACCCAGGGTTTGGTGCATACTAAGGTATTGTGCCACAGAGCTAAGCCCCCAGCACCTGGCCTTAATCAGTGTTTTTTCCTTTAAAAACATAGGTAAGTGAATTAATTCTACATTGTAGCAAAATGATACTTTGCAGAGACTTGTATTGACTTTTAATATTTTTATTCTCTGATGACATCTATGTCCCTTTATTACTTATACAAGGGTTTCAGTATCAGACTACAACTTGCTTTATAATGGAGTTGATTATTAGGCTTTTCTGAATATTCCCATTGTGCAGGTTATCTGAATTTAATGGATCAGATTTCTTCCTAAAATTTGAAGCTTTAGATTCAAGCAGATTCAAGCAGAGACAGATAAAGAGAGGGAGGGAGAGGTGGAGATGGGGAAAGAGGAAGGGAGAGAGAGAGGGAGAAAGAAAAGAGAAAGAGAGAGAGAGAGAGAGAGAGAGAGAGAGAGAGAGAGAATCACAACGCCCTGGTAGAGACCCTGTGGGCTGCTTTCATATGCTAATCTGTCATCTTCTCTACCATCTTGGCCTTCAGTCTAGACAGTCTCCATTTTAATTTATGCTTTTAATTTATTTTTATTTTTTCTTGAAAACTTATCTAATAAATGAAACACTAATCAACAACAGAACTGTTCCCTAGGCTTGCAAGGGTCGGAGTTCTAGAGTGAAACACATTTCTCCTCCCTCTTCCAGTCAGCCTCTGTCAACCCCCAGGCTTGGTCCCCACCCTTTCTGTTCCCTGGCTGCCCTCTGCCTTTCTGTGACTATTCAGCCTCTTTGTGGAGTCTCCAAGGAAAGCAAGGCAGGAGGCTTGGCACAATGATGGATGTGGGGAGAGGAGATCCCACTCCTCCTGATGGTCCCAGGGTGCCCTAAGGTGAATGTCGATTAGCCTGACCACTTAACACTCATCAGTAGTCACCACCTTCTGGAGCCAAACAAAACAAAGCTTAGGATCTTAAGCAATAGGTGAGGACTTCTGCAGAGAGGGGAATGGCAAACAGCTAACTGTTGGTGCAGGGGTGCAGAGGAGAGTTGGGGGGAATAGACACAAGTAGCATGAAGAGAAGTGGGGAGCTCAGCTTAACAGTCACCCCCATTGGCAAAAGCCAATACACCGAGGGGCGCTGTCATACATTGGACTGTGGGAATAAGGAGAATTTTGAGGCCTTTGGGCACATCCCTCCCTCGGGACAGAAGAGGTGACTCTTTACTAGTGGATCTCTACACACACCCCCACCATGCACATGCACACACACACACAGACACAGACACAGGTACCAACAGGAAAGAAAACACATCTAGCCTGCTAATTCACAAAACAGCCCATCTGGGAGAGAGGCTCTATTTAACTGAAAGTGGGTCACCCTGTTTTACTGTCACTGAAAATTGTCCCCTGCTTTCTTCAAGATGAGCCTTAGTAACAATGCAGGTGCAATTATGTCTGAATGGTAGCAGGCTCCTAAGTTGATCAGAACTAAGCCTGCCTGTTTCTCTAATCACAGTTTCTTCTCTCTCGAGCTGTAGGTGTGGCCTGTCCTGGCAGGCAGTGGTAACACAGATAATCATAAAGTTTCACCACTCCCGTTCCACAGATGCACCGGGACATTTTTCCTTGTTTGTGAAGCTGGTGTGTTTATTGCCAGCTGCACTGGCCCAAGAGCAATGAGAACTACAGACACATTAGTGAGTAGATTCACCTCAAGGGGCAACAAAGAGAAACAGCAACCCAAGGCTCTCTAAAACGACACCATTGAAATGGAATTGAGTTTCCTTAAGGTGCTGCCATAACCAGATATCCCCCTCCCCTGCTTGCCCCAATCACACGTCCACATCTCATTGTCCTGGATATTTTGGCCTTTTCCCTGAACCAGCATTTGGCCACCTCCTCCCCTTCTAGCTCTTCTCCACCGATCCTGTTCCTCTTCATGATGGTGGAAGCAACAGTTTCATACTTTTCTGCTCTCACTGGTATAATTTGGGGTGGGAAATATGGTTTGAATCTTAGAATTAAAAACAGGCATTTTTCTCTCATTCTGTCTCCTCCTATCAAATTCCTTTCCATTTGGTGATAATTTCTACCAAGTTGATAAAAATAAGCCAGAAAAGACACCAGAAAGGAGGTGAGGGCAGAACTGCTCAGGCAGGATTTTTCTGTGCAAGGGTTTGGTTACATGATTGCTACGTTAGTTTTCCCACAACATGTGTTTATCTGGCAAAGTCCTTGTTAATAAGGGATTTATGTGCCAGCTTCTTAGACTGCCATGCATATGTGTCCTCAGTAGTTTCTCTTTTTTCTTTCAGCATTTGAGAACATGTTAAAATATGTCCCTAATATTTACCTTCTGGTGGCTGGCTCCTGTTGAGACTGAGACTGTTACATGGGCAAGCCAGGAATATCAGATGTTGGAGGATGACATTCATAGCTGTGCTCTTTGTCCTGGAATCTGACAGATGCTACTCTTTGCTGCTGGTGTGCCTAAGTCCATTTTTGTGTTATATTTCATTTGTTCAATTCATTCCAAAAATAAATGACCCATTAATACCAGGCCACACAGTTCTGGGTGCTGGGACTATGGCAGGAGCAGATGGTCATTTTCTTGTTGTGTCTCGGCTTGAGGGAGAGAGATGGAGACCTGGAGACACAAGGCATGGTCCTGTCCATTCTTAGAAGACCCTCGTCCCCTTAGGAAGGCATCACCCTCTTGACCTGTCACCTTCCAAAAGTGTCTGCTTCCTAACACCATGGGGGAGGGCCAGGAAACAAACCTAGCAGAAAGAGACCAGTGGCAGGTAGAAAAACATAACAAAGACAGGGAACAGCAAAATGTAGTTTTCCAGCCACCGGTGACACTGAGCTGGTGACACAGAGCAGAGGACACCTTTGTAAGCAGTACTGCTGCCTGTTCCCCCCTAGGAGAACCTCAGCTCTCTTCCCCATCTGAGCTCTTACAGCTGATTAGTATCAGCATCAGTCTAATGTTAGCTGATTATGTCACCTAAAAATGACTTTTCCTTCTAGTTTCCTATCATGTCTC